AGGGGCTGGTACAGGGCAAGCCTGAGCCAGCCCTAACTATAAGCTTTATCAAAGAGGAAAGTCTTAAGTCTAGTCTTAAATGTGGAGACGGTGTCTGCCTCCCGGACCGTAACAGGAAGATGATTCCACAGGAGAGGAGCCTGATAGCTGAAGGCTCTGGCTCCTGATCTACTTTTGGAGACTTTAGGGACCACGAGTAACCCTGCGTTCTCAGAGCGCAGTGTTCTGGTGGGATAATATGGCACTATGAGCTCTCTAAGATATGACGGAGCTTGACCATTTAGAGCTTTATAAGTTAACAGTAGGATTTTAAATTCAATTCTGGATTTTACAGGGAGCCAGTGCAGAGAAGCTAAAACAGGAGAAATATGATCTCGTTTCTTAGTTCCTGTTAGTACACGTGCTGCTGCATTCTGAATTAGCTGGAGAGTTTTTAAGGACTTACTAGAGCTACCTGATAATAGAGAGTTACAGTAATCCAGCCTTGAGGTAACAAAAGCGTGGACCAATTTTTCTGCATCTTTTCGGGTCAGGATAGGCCTAATTTTCGCAATATTACGCAGATGAAAAAATGCAGTCCGTGAGGTTTGCTTTAAATGAGAATTAAAAGACAAATCTTGATCAAATATTACTCCGAGGTTTCTTACGGTAGTGCTAGAGGCCAGAGCAATGCCATCTAGAGAAACTATGTCATCAGATAAAGAGTCTCTGAGTTGTTTGGGGCCAAGAACAATAACTTCAGTTTTGTCTGAATTTAACATCAGGAAATTGGTGCTCATCCAATTTTTTATGTCTTTAAGGCAGTTATGGAGTTTAGTTAATTGATTACTTTCTTCTGGCTTCATCGATAAATACAACTGTGTATCATCCGCATAACAATGGAAATTTATAGAGTGATTTCTAATGATGTTACCTAAAGGAAGCATATATAGAGTAAATAGGATTGGTCCGAGCACAGAACCTTGCGGAACTCCAAAACAAACTTTGGTACGTAAGGATGATTCATTACGAACGTCAACAAATTGAAAACGATCAGATAAATAAGATTTAAACCAGCTTAGTGCTGAACCTTTTAGGCCAATTAAGTGATCCAGTCTCTGCAGTAGAATTTGATGGTCAATTGTGTCAAACGCCGCACTAAGATCTAATAAAACAAGAACAGAGACGAGTCCTTTGTCTGAAGCAATCAGAAGGTCATTTGTAATTTTAACTAGAGCTGTCTCAGTGCTATGATGCACTCTAAATCCTGACTGAAATTCCTCAAATAAATTATTATCCTGGAGAAAATCACACAGCTGGTCTGCGACTACTTTCTCAAGGATCTTTGACATAAAGGGAAGATTAGATATTGGTCTATAGTTGGCTAACACCTCTGGATCCAGGGTGGGCTTTTTTAGGAGAGGTTTAATTACAGCTACCTTAAAAGACTGTGGTACATAGCCTGTTAATAGGGATATATTGATCATATCTAATATATGAGTGTTAACTAAAGGAAAGACCTCCTTAAGTAGCCTAGTTGGGATGGGGTCTAAGAGACACGTTGATGATTTAGATGAAGAAATCACTGCGGTCAATTCTTGAAGAGAAATTGGGGAGAAGCAATCTAAATATATATTAGATTCTACAGCTGTGTTTGAGGTTAGATAGGTAGGCCTACCATCTGAGGGCAGGAGGTCATGAATTTTGCCTCTAATAGTTAGAATTTTGTCATTAAAAAAGCTCATAAAATCATTACTGCTAAGGGCTAAAGGAATACAAGGCTCAATAGAGCTTTGACTCTCAGTCAGCCTGGCTACAGTGCTGAAAAGAAACCTGGGGTTGTTCTTGTTTTCTTCTATTAATGCTGAGTAATAGTTTGCTCTGGCATTGCGGAGGCCCCTCTTATAAGTTTTGAGACTGTCTGTCCAGATTAAACGAGATTCTTCCAGTTTGGTTAATCGCCAATTCCTTTCAAATTTTCGCGATATTTGTTTTAACCTACGGGTTTGAGAGTTATACCAAGGAGCAAACTTTCTTTGCTTTGTTAACTTCTTTTTAAGAGGAGCTACAGAGTCGAGCGTTGTTCGCAGCGAGCCTACGGCGCTATCAACAAAATGATCAATTTGGGAGAGGTTAAAGTCGGCACGGGAAACCTCTGTTACTGAAGGTATTGGTATTGAATTCACTTCTGCTGTTCCAAACATCTGTCTGTATCTGCTGTACCAACAACTGTCTCACTTCTGCTGTTCCAAACATCTGTCTCATTTCTCCTGTACCAGCATTTATCTGTGTCTGCTGTACCAACGTCTGCCTCACTTCTGCTGTACCAACATCTGTCTCACTTCTGCTGTTACAAACATCTGTCTCATTTCTCCTGTACCAGCATTTATCTGTGTCTGCTGTACCAACGTCTGCCTCACTTCTGCTGTACCAACATCTGTCTCACTTCTGCTGTTACAAACATCTGTCTGTCTCTGCTGTACCAACATCTGTCTCACTTCTGCTGTTCCAAACATCTGTCTGTCTCTGCTGTACCAACATCTGTCTCACTTCTGCTGTTCTAAACATTTGTCTCATTTCTCCTGTACCAGCATTTGTCTGTCTGCTGTACCAACATCTGTCTCACTTCTGCTGTACCAACTTCTGTCCGTCTCTGCTGTATCAAACATCTGTCTCTCTTCTGCTGTACCAACATCTGTCTGTCTCTGCTGTTCCAAACATCCGTCTCATTTCTCCTGTACCAGCATTTGTCTGTCTCTGCTGTACCAACATCTGTCCGTCTCTGCTGTACCAACATCTGTCTCTCTTCTGCTGTACCAACATCTGTCTGTCTCTGCTGTACCAACATCTGTCTCACTTCTGCTGTACCAACATCTGTCTCACTTCTGCTGTACCAACATCTGATTAACCTGTACTGTGGCATTCGTACCAAACCATGACTTAAATAACTGACCAGCTATCAAAATTAAAATTGAGGTTTGTCCCTTTGCTTATACCTGTCAATGCAGGATTCTCATTCAGGATGTATTTAAAGTTGTGACCCTGACACCGTACTATTTGAAAGTTTAACCCACTCAAGAAACAATGTTCAGGTGTGAGAAGGCCAGAAAAAATCTACTATGGAGAAAAGAAGGCTTAACATACTTAAGTCCAATGCAATTTTAATTAAAACAGATTAGGCAAATATGTTTGCCCAGATGAAGGTCTAATGACAGAAAGCTTTGCTTTGTTCTGGAGCTGAGACTTCAATATGCATTTGTTTATGTTCATGAAATCTGTTTTGATGAACTGTTCTTACTTTTCTACAACCAACAATACAAGATCTTGAATGCATGAAATAAAATGAAAGCATGTAACACATTTCTAACATACAGTCTTAACAACTGTGTGTGTGTGTTTGTGTTTGTGTTTATGTTTGTGTTTGTGTGTGTGTGTGTGTGTGTGTGTGTGCGCGTGCGTGCATGCGCACATAGCTCCAACAGCAGCAGCATCTCCCCAGACAGATGGGCCAAGGCCAAAGGAATCCATACCCCCAAGTCAATCAGTACCAAGGTGAGTACTATCACATGCATTAATTTCCTCCGAGCAACAATACACACAGTTTGTGCATAAACGTAGGAATGGCGGCACCCCAATGAATAAGGCAAGACCTGACCTAAATTCTTCCACATTTTATTGATGAGCACATTAGTAAATGGATTTTTTGGTAAATCAGTTTTGTAGTTCTTCTTCTGCACTCTGATGGTTACATTAAAAAGGCCCACAATCGCAAATGTGCACCTGGTCTTCAACAAGTATGGTATACATGGTAGAGAGCCAAGACATTTAACAGATTTTACAGTTCAATCTGACATATTCAGAGACAGATAGACACACAAACACATAAAAACATGTATGCAAACAGCAGCGCTGACTGAGTATCACCCTGAAACCAAACCTCGTCCACTCTGTCTGTCTGTCAGATACATCAGTTGGCGCTCAGATGCTCTTCAGCCTCTGTCTTTCTCTCTCTCGCTTTCTCTCTCGCTCCCTCCGAAAAAAAAAAATAGAATATTCCTGCTCTGCCTGTTACCACGGCAACTTGTCTGTCCTGGATCCCCCAGAGTTCCGGTGGAGTCAGAGAGATGGATGAGAGGAGGGAGGTGAGAAAGGGGGGGTGCTGGCACAAGAGGAATAGGTAGATAGCCTGGTAGGTAGAAGAAAAGCTTGGGAAGAGAGAGAAAGAGGTAGATGAGTGGGCGAGAGGATGATGGAGAAATGAAGAAAAATTAAGAGAGGGGAGAGCAGAGACAAGTCAAAAGCCATTTATAGCCATCAGAGAGTCTGACTGCAAGTCTAGGAGATAATGTGAAGAGGAGGAGGGGGTTGCAGAATGGAACTCTGGCCCAGAAATATTTCTGTTAGTTCAGCTATCCAGCAGCATACCGGTGATTTAAAAGCAATACAGCAGTAATATCACCTGCAATCAGAACATAATCAAATACTGCTCTCATTTATATATACATGAAGTGGAAAAGATGTGGCTAATGTGTGATGTTACATTGCTTACAACTCTGGAATGTGTCTATTCTGACTCCTCTGTTGCAGTTACAGTCCAAGCTGTGAGGTGAGGGATTAGAGGAATGATGTCAGAAGTGGGTTTATTAAAGGATTTACAGCTATTTACACGCTAGCAGACCTCCTCAGCTCTGCCACTGAGGCTCTGGTAGGAAAAAAGAGGGGAAGTGAGGTGCTGGCACTTTTGAGATCTATTTTAGTGTGGTCAGATTGAAACTTAACTGGGAGGGAAGCATTTGTTTCCAGAGTAAACAGGTTGTCATGGATCAGAAATCTTTGCCTCAGCACCAACTGAATAGATTGGTCTTGTGTACCATTTGGTGATTTAAGTGGATCTAGTATACAGGCTCAAAAGCTGTTACGAATGTCCGGCTCCATTGTCTCTGTTTATATGCCTTTGTGCCTGCGATAGCACTGGCTGGAGGCATTATGTTTTTGAGTTGTCCGTCCGTCTGTCTGTCCGTCCGTCCCATTCTTGTGAACATGACATCTCCCAAACATGTCGAGGGAATTTCTTTCATTTGGCACAGATGTCCCTTTAGACTCAATGACGGACTTATTCAATTTTGGTGGTTAAAGGTCAAAGTCAGTGTGACCTCACAAAACATGTTTTTGGCCATAACTCAAGAATTCTTACACTAATTGTGACAAAAATCCACACAAATGTCTAATAGGATAAAATAAAGAAGTGATGACATTTCATTTACAAAAGGTCAAAATCAACTTCACTGTGACATCATAATGTTCTGCATAAAACACTTTTCTGGCTGTTATTCAACATCATATCTCAGGAAGAGAAGGGGAGACATCTGCTGAGATACTGAGTGGGTGTCACTAATCTTGGGTGCCCACCTTGAAACTGTGCTGATTGTGTAGGTAATTTGTGCTGCTGGGGGAAAGATGTGTGTGAAGCATCTATATTTTCACAGACATGGATGTAAACTGTAAGAGAAACGTGATTGGTGTGTGGAGGCATACAACTGCAGGGCTGTAATTCTAGTTCACTTTTAACTCCTCTAATTCTTCTCTCGTAGGTCCTCCTCAGGATCTAGCATCCAGAAGCCAGGCTCTCCAGAACATTCGGGCCGCCCGTCTCCTACAACAGCAGCAGCAGAACCAGCAGCAGATGGTCCAGATGAGTTCTGTACAGGGCCAGGGGGGCTCCGTGGGACCCCAAACTGACATGGGCTTACCCTATGGCAACCAGGGGTCAAACCAAGGTTCCTTGTATGGGCTCAATCCCTCCATGAGCCAAATGATCCACCAGCAGCAGCACCAGAGCCAAAGTGTGCAAGCCTCCATGGGTCTTCCACCGCAGCACAACCCCGCTGGAGGGCCGCCCCGTCAGGCAGGTGCAGGTCCTGGGGTAGGGGGTATGCCTGGAGGCCCAGGAGGTGGTGGAGCTGGAGGGTATGGAGGACAGGGAATGTTGATGAACTCCATGACCCAGCAACCCCTCAAAGGCCCTCCCAATGCCAAAGCCCAAGCACAGAGACTGCAAAGCATGCTGGGAGCAGGAGGGGGAGGCGGGGGAATGACGGCAGGTGGCTGGCCGCAGCAGCAAGGACAAAGTCTGCAGGCCATGGGAGGAGGAGTTGGAAGGACTACAGGAGGAGGGGGAGGAGACATGGTGGGGTTCAGTTCCACCCAGGGTTATGGGATGCAGCCAGGTCAACCTCCGCGCATGGCCAAGCAACACTTTCAGGGGCCGGGCCAGGGGTTGAGCCAGGGAATGGACCCCAGAGTGGGCAACCCAGCGGCTGTTATGGGTGGCCAAATGATGGGCCCTCACATGGGTGGTCAGCCCAGGACCAACCAGCCCCGGCCCATAGTCATGAACCAGGGGATGAACCAGGGGGTGATGGCCCAGGGGATGACTGGGATGGGGGGGTTCGGGCCGGGCCCAGGGGGGCCTGGAATAGGAGGAGGGGGAGGAGGGAGTGGACCCTATGGACCAGGGGGTGTAGGTGTTGGAGGTCAGCCACCAGGCTACCAGAGGACAGCTAATCAGGACATGTCATCCTATGGATATGGGGGCGGGCCCTCAGGGGGAGGAGCCTTTGGATTGGCCGATGGCACAGGGGCGGAGCTGGACTCAAGCGATGGTTGGATGGAGGAGTTTTTCCCAAGCCAATAGCCAATGGGGAAACTGGAGAAGAGTTTTTACTGGATGAACTAAATGTTTAAGTAGGATATATGTTAAAACCTGAGAAAGTAAAACAAACAGGATGACATGAAGTAGACTGGCATGTTTTTGTTTTGTACAACATGAGCAAGGTTATAAAGTAGTTTTTGTGTTATGTTATGTTTTGTGTGTGTGTGTGTGTGTGTGTGTGTGTGTGCGCGCGTGTGCGTGTGTGTATGAGAGAGATGGAGAGAGCAATCATTATGTCTCGTGCATATTAATGAAAAACCAATATAGCGATTAAGACTTGTGTTTCATTAGTTTCCCTTTTTTTTCTCCAAGGAATGAATATTTCTCAAGTTTCAGTGTTTGAAAGCGAGCCCCGTTTACACAGCGGTGCCTGAGCTTCAGATGAAGGGGAAGGAAGACTTGTTCTCAAGACAGCAATTTATTTGTGTTTGTGTGTTCGTGCCACCCAGCTCAATGCTTCATATCTCTCAACTATGTGAGGAGCTGAAGGGAATAAAAAGCACTCTCAGCGCTCCCATTTCCTCTCTCAGATTTCTGCCCCACACACACACGCACACAAATCTGTCGCCTCCACGGTCTCTCTGTTCTCTTCACTTGATCTCTCTCTCTCTCTCTCTTTCTCTCACCCCCCCCACCCCCCCGAGACTCATTCCTCGCTCTCAACACTCCTTTCTCTGTTTAACTTGTGAACATCACAACAGAACAAATGATGTTCCCCTATTTTCCCACACAAGCGCACTCTGCCCTCTAGTGCTTTTGCTAGGCAACCGACCATGGTGGCTTTTTTTTGTTTTGTTTTGGTTTTTTTGGAGGGGGGGGGTTCATTTCCTGTGCGTGGCTGTGGATGACGGGTGTGCATGCAGGGGAAGACAAAGAGGGAGAAAACAGGCAGCTAAAGCAAGCACTTGGACTCAAAAGCTCATGCACACACACACGTATACAAACAAGCATCAGCCTGGGAGGATGAGCATGTGTGTGAGAGGCAGCTAGCACAGCTAATATTACATTAAACCGTCTGCCTGTGTGACACAAACCACACTGCATTCATCAGGCTAACACAAAGCAGAATGATCGCTGGGCACTGAATGTATCTGAGCACCACAAGTGACTTCTTTTTAGGGGAAAAAAAGCTCATTGAATGCCCACCCAACATGTTTTGTTTGTTGCTGTGTTTTATCTCTAACAATGATGCTGGTTGTGTTTTGTCAATTAAAAGTAAAAAAAAACAAAAACAAAAAAACCAAAAACAAAGTTAGCCTTCTTTTAGTTTGTGTTGTCTTTTGAAAATCTGTTTGTCCTCCCATCACAGCACAGCCTTCCCTTCCATTGTGACACAGCTGGTTGTCAATCACCGTAGCCCTGCTTTACATTGTGGCTTCTCTTGTACCGCAGCTATAAAACACCCTTGCTCCAAACTAGATCATAACTGTGCTATACTGTAACACTACTGTGAAGAAATACCAGTTGTCCCCTTCCAGAGCTTTACAACGAAAATGAACCACTGCTAAGCCTTGACTTTGTTTTATAGACAGTTGAGAAACTTCAGACTGGACTTAAAGGGACAGTTCACCCCAAAATCAAAAATACATATTTTTTTCTCTTACCTGCAGTGCTGTTTATCAGTCTAGATAGTTTTGGTGTGAGCTGATGAGTGTTGGAGATATCTCCAAACACTCGGCCTTTGGTGCTCAGAGTACCAAAAGATACTCAATTTCATTTTTCCAGAAATCATCACGTGGTTACTCAAGATAATCCACAGACCTTGTTGTGATCAGTTTCATGTTGGAACTATTTTCTTCATACCGAATTACACCCACCAACTGTATCGCACCCAGAAGAAAGCATGCCTACAGCTAGCTCACCTAACACCACTGAGCTAATTGTGCGTCAGCTCTATGACTAGTTGACTCTTCCTCTACTCATATGAACCCAGAAACAACAGCAACTTTTAACGAAGGTAACGTTTCAAAATTTGGCTCCATTATAACTCACAAGGTTCACCAACAAAAGAACTGCCTTGTACTAAACAGTTTTCCCCCCAAAATACAACATGCTAACCTTATTAGCGTGAGCCTATCACAATTTACATTGCATAAATTTTTAAGTTTTTCTCTACTCTTATGAAGCCAGGATAAATCACACACAGGACATAAGCTGCCAATTTTTTATCTGTAAAATAAATGTAAATAAAAGCATAGTTTCCACATGCATACAAAAAAAAAATAAAAAATAGAAGTGCCCTGTTACAGTGACGTGAATTTACATTTCTGCAGTGATGCACGTCAGGCTACAATGTAGGCTACGTGTCTATGCAGAGCCTATGCTGTAGGCACGGCATACTTTAAAGTTTCAGGTATAACGTGTGTGTACATATATATATATATATATATATATATATATATATATATAAATCCTGTTTAATGTCACAGCTCAGCCGAGGAGGACGCCATTTAAGTTTACATCTCGCACTGTCATGAGCACGAGCCTCTCATCCATGAGTAGATGCACACTTCCTTCTGAACGACACACTGAGTGCTAATTAGAAGGCAGACATCTCTACGGCAAATATCTCAAACATTCTGCAACTCACACAAACAATCTAGACTTATAAATAGCACTATACATTACAGGAAAAAGATGTACTTATGATTTTGAGGTGAACTGTCCCTTTAAAGGGTGACGACGGTTGGCGCCAGTTAGCGCCAAAACAATAAGTGCTTCCACTGTCATCAGTGTCTCCCCCTCTCTGAACTTACTTAAGTAAACTGTGGGCTTTACTCCAGACCTTCTGGCTTTCATTCATCATCAACAAGCTGTCCTCTCTTTTGCCCTAATGGTTGAGTAATAAATATGTGTCAAATAGGTTTTAATACAGTAGTCATTGGTAAGATAACACTTTACTTCTCTAACTGTTTTGTAATCTAGGTTAAGAGGTGAATGAGAGCGTGTTTGTATTTGCATTACTTTGTATTTAGCTCATCAGAGTGAAAGTTTGGAGAATGATACTGTAATCAACAAACCAAAAAGCCTTCTTCTTCTCTGTAAACTAACTCCTTGTCATCAACGCATTTGATGCATTATCTCATGGTTGCTGATGTTGTATAATCCAACCCTTTAAATACAAACTTTAACCACCACGCCCATCATCCTGTAAGCATTGCTGCATATGGCAGCACCCACGAATGAGGTTTTGTTCTTTGGTTGTCATGTTTGGGGAGCAGAAGTCCTCCGTCTCACTGTGTGGAATCTGAAGGTCAACAGCAAGCAGATGTTTAGGGTTGTAGCGTTTCCCGGTTTATCAGGGGAGATGGTGAAATCAATAAAAACTCTGTGTCAGTGTCTAAATAAACTCTTGGATTGTTTGCTCATGCTTCCAAAACTTTGATACCGCTCTAGTACTCCAGGCAGGCTCCAATAAAAGTTCAGTGTCAGACCAGTGAAATGGAGATGATGTGTAGGAAAACACCTGAGTTTTACCACTCCAAACTGGAGGCGGGAAGGTAGAGAGACACTTGTGGATCAGTGTTAAGATCACGGCCTTTGTGACCTTTTTGTCTTCTTCAAAGTAAGGGTTCATGTTATGGTTTGAAATCCCTTCAAGAAGAGAAAGGAAGCTTCCTCCAAATATCATTATGTACTGGGACCAAGTCTGTAGACAACATTTTAACAAAAATTGTTGTTGATGTTCTTTATTTTATTTTATTTTATTTTATTTGTTTGGTTGTTGTTTTTTTACTGGTGCTGACATATATGTGATTATGAGAAAAAGTATATAAAAGATAATGGCTATTTGTAAATATGTTTTTACAGGTTTAAATACATCAGATAATACAGTCTCTACTCTGTAAAGAATTTACTGTTTGTTGGAAAATAGAGAAGTATTTTTATTTTGAAGTTTTTTGGTTTCACGTTTAACCCATCTGAGCTATGCCATTGCACTTCAGACAATGTCTTACTACTAATTTGTAATGTAAACCTCTCTTTTTGGATTTTTTTTTTTTCATTTGTTTTTTCTAGTTTGAGATTTGACTCTGTTCTTAAGCAGTGCTTATTTCTTTTTATCCTGTACAGAATTCTGAAATGTTAACAAAAGAGAATTACAAAAGACTTTTTTTTGTTTGTTTTTCAAAAAGATACAATAAAGAGAGAATGTTCTCGCTGATCATATTAAATGAATGTTCATTGGGTTCATTTGTTGGTGTAGTCAGACTACAACTGTGGAGCCTCCAAACTAACTGAATGTAGTTAAACAGGGGTCTTCAACATTTTTCAGGCCAAGAACCCCATAGCTGAAAGACACAGAACAGGGACCCCTACTACATATACTGTATTTTAAAAAAAAGTTGCATATTAAATTGGGGCTCCAATAATGTGCCTAATAACAAAGAAGTTACAAAATGATTAACTGTAGCTTAGAAGAATGTCCGTACACTTAATGTAATAATACAGCCAATTGGGCAGTATGTTTAAATAGTGCATTAACTGTTAGCTAACTCGTTCACCTTGCTGTTATGGATGGGTGCTGCACAATGATTTAATACTGCATTCCTGCAGTAAAGGAGATTGCACTTTTAGGACCACAGTTATAGGACCCTAGTTTTTTGCCACAGTGCCACCCTCTAAACTCAATGACTGCAAAAGTGCAAACAAGGCAGTCCAAGTACTTTAGTTTTAAAGGTTTATTCCACCCACATACATACTTTGAAGACTAATTCCATCAAATTCTACTTTGCCTTGCAATTCAGCTTGGTTGCTAGGACTTGCAATTTGTTTAATTAGCAGAATTAGCTCAGTATACTCTAGTTAGCTAGTTTGTGCCTTATATAGTTTTTATAAAAATAAAAACTGCATGTACAGTGTAGACCTTCATGTCAAAAGTGCCCTGAGACTTCTGATTTGGTGTGATATAGATAAAACTGACTTGACTAGATCGCAACCAGATATTTCTAAAGGTTAGAAAGAGGCAAGACACAGGGATGACTCTGGAAGCAGATTCAAGATATATATTGTAAACAGACGCATACACACTACAATAAACAATAAGCAAACAAACAAACGGTTGTGGTCTGAGAAAGGGAGCCAGTTTCATCCCTGACTGATGGTCATCTTCCGCTTCATGTGTACTGTGCTCCTGTGGGCCAGTGTGGTGCACAGGAGAGAGAGAAAAAGAGACAGCATAATTGGTCAAATTAAACATTTTGGGATAATTTCACAGACAATTTGGCCTAAGCCTAGTACTGAATAAAAAAGAATTACAATTGCGCCTTAAAGAAAGACTAAGACAATAATTTCAAATTGTCAGATTTGACTTGCTAACATTATTGGGCACAAAGTCCATGATAATGATGACGGACGAGCTTTTGAAAATGAAAATAGTGTTATTAAGATAGACATATAACCCCTTTTTTCAGCCTATCAACTAAAATGCTTTAGCTACTGCTACAAGAGCAGTGGTGGAAAGTGACTAAGTACATTTACACAAGTGCTGAACTTAAGTACAATTTTGAGATACTTGTAGGCCACCTTTATGTGAGCAGGCCTATATCCTTTGTTTGCTTTGTCTACTATGGTTCCATGACTTAATGTCACCACCACAACAAGACTGTATCACACTGTGTTCGGTGTGATGACATTCTGTGGTCTCATCTAGCCACTTGCTTTTTTTAAGACACAGAGAAGCATCAACATTTTCATTGGGGTATTTACTGACGTATCCTATGTTGTATAACAAACATGAAAGTCTCTTGAGCTTGTGGTAACCACAGACCTTATTTCAGCCATCTAACCAAAAACCCATTCAAATCACCCATTGACTTTGAAACAAGGGAACAAGGAGAGCAAAAATTCTAACTCATGTCTGGGTTTTAGGACTCATTCCTGGAGTGCTCTATTCAGATTATCAAGGGGAGAGACCACAGGTGAATAGGGTAAAAATTTTAAGTAATAGATATCACAGTGAAACTTGCCAGTTGATTACTTTTAGTAAGACAATAATCTTAATAGTTTTCTGAAATTTTATGTTTAAATGTGCAAATTATGCATTATCTGATTAAATATCTAGCGATTTGCACGTTTCCAGAACATAAATCTGAACACTGGACAAAGCCAGGTTCAATTTTTTTTTTAATTTCACCTTGTGTCATTTTAGAGGCAAAGCAAGACGGACACTAGGGTAAAAACTTCACAGATATCACTTTGAAACTTCCCATGCTAATTACTTACATTAGGGGGATTTTTTTTTTTTTGTATTACAAGTTTTCTGAAATTGTATGTGTGAATATGCAAATGAGACATTATCTAATTAAATATGCACTTTTTTCATAAATTTCCAGAACACAAATCTAAGATAAAATAAAAACCCTAAATGTGTATTTTGGATGTTTTATTTCCACTAGTCTGAAAGAAGATATGTTATGGAAGCCAAACAGCCAAAAAAAAACTGAGCATTGCATAAAAACACTGTTTTCACCAGGGGTGGCCTCAATACAGAATATATTCAACAATTAAATTGTGATGTATTAATGTAGATTAAGATAAAATTCTGTTGGAGGGGATTCACAAGCTACCCAGCAGTATGTAAAGTAATTAAAATGAGCTACTCTTTTGACAGCTGTAACATTAAAGTAATAAACACAATAATGCTTCAATAATTGTCCAGTAACATAGACTGATAGATCTGATTCTGAAATGGAACATTCTGCATAATGAGGACTTTTACATATAAGTATATTTTGATGCTAATAATTTTGTACTTTTGCCTGAGTTTTTCTTCACCCTCTGTACAAGAGTTTATACAGTGGTGCTACAGCAGTACAGCACAGTATATAGATGATTTACAATAAATTCACTGGCTATTGTAGTTTTATGATGAAAGTTAGGTTTATTGAAAATGCAGTAATGAAAAGGAAATGTTTGGGGAAAACAGAGAAGAAGAGTTTTTTTCAAAGTGTTTTATCAATTGGTTAGTGGTTACAGTCCATTCCTGGGCTCCATACAGCACCCCGCTTTGCCTGTGGATACACAACAACATCCATATTATTCAGGGTCGCAAAACTGACGGAGACAAATGCACACACATTCATGTAGCGCCTAAAACCAGACTGACTAACTGCCGTAGTAATGTTTTGTCTAACAGACCTTATTTGCATAATTAGACTTGCATATGCTAAAGAGCAGAGCCTTAATTCTGTCTGGCAGTAATAGCGATGATGATTCATGGGCTCCCTGTTGGTATCAGCAGACAGACAGACAGACAGACAGACAGATAGACAGACTGACGGACCACATGACCACATGCAGGCCACGACCTTTTTGTTGTAATTCATCTTTTCTGCCCCTTTCAAACACACTCTTTCTCATTCTCTGTCAGCCGTGCCCCTTTTCTTCATCTCTCCTCTTCATCGTGGCCACCTCCCT